CCTCCCATTAGGCCCCGCCTCCGACATTGAGGATCAAATTTCAACATGCGTTTGGACGCGGCAATATCCATACCATAGCACTCATTGAAGCCAACCCTTCTGCTCATCTCATCAGAACACATTCTATTTCATGGAATATGTGTTGCCCAATTCCAGAATCACAAAGCTAGTTGGGATCTTTACATTTGTTGGAAATTTTGTCTTTCGACACCAGGAAAGTCACCTGAAGTGAACCAAACTGCTTTTTGTATTACACCGTTTCCTCGCTCCGGTTCAAGTTACCTTATAAAAACCAACTGTTCTGCCGTCCCTGCTCTAAGTCTTTAGATGAGAGGCTTCCCGCTTCAGGAATGGCTAGTAAAAGTTAGTCAGATCTTTTAATTTTGTTGTAGCTTTATCTTTTGACGGGCACAGCATTACCTGTCTGGTGGTATGCAACCTTTCCCTGAAAATTTCCATTAGCCCATAGGAACCACTTAGAACACTTGGCTAAAAATATCTGATTAGTCTAACATCTGTCAGGGAAAACCGTGAAAGACTTTGAAATGGGCAAAAGGTTTACTGGGTATGTGGCTAGTGGTCTTCCAGGTTATCTGATTCAATGAGTCTGTTAAATATTTTGATCAAAGGCAATAAGTAACAGCTGTGTAAATTATGGAACACTGATGGCAATGCAAATTATTTTTAGTAGAGCTGCAATTAATTTCTGCCCTGTGAATTCTTTTGAACCAGTTTAAAACGTTTTTTTTTTTGTTTTTTTTTTTTTGAGTTAGAGTCTCACTCTGTTGCCCAGACTGGAGTGCAGTGGCCGCTTCGGGCCACCGCAGCCTCGACCTGCTGGGCTCCGGCGATCCTTCCGCCTCAGCCTTCCGAGTAGCTGGAACTACAGGCACACGCTACCACACCCAACTAATTTTTTGATTTATTGTAGAGATGAGGTCTCGTCAAGTTGCCCAGGCGGGTCTCAAACCCGCAGGCTCAGGCAACCCACTCACCTCAGCCTCCCAAAGGCGTGGGATGACAGGCTGAGCCACCGAGC